TGATAAGAAAACAGTGACTATCCATTTTAAGCAATGTGTGCTTTAATTTCAGTTGTTCATCATTGATGTTCAGTAAATAACCATAGATAGTGTACGATTCCTTCAGTTATTTTTAAATCAAGCAATGGACCCTTCATTTAAAAATATCTTACTTGTAATATGTAAGCATATTTACTGTACAAAAATTGAACTATGAAGGCAAAAGTGTTGACCAGTGTTGTCAAAACAATACACACTGATACTGGAATATTTAAAATGATATGTAAACCTTTACATCTCTCATAAAGTTAAAATAGATAATCTCCCTCAGAGTTATTAGAGATTTAAATGACAAGGAAATATCAAAAACAGTCAAAAACATTGACTTATGTACTTTACTGTGGTGCTTAACGTTTGTGTAATGCAATATTGAAAATTCAGTCATTCATACGTTTCATATATAAATCAGTCAATACAAATGCACATATGCCTATGTCCATGGTAATTTCTGATCCATTAAATAATATTAATTATTGGTAATATTAGTATTACACATTATTTTAATCAGAAAATAAGATAAGATTAGAGAAGATTGACAATATTCCTCATTCTGATATTCTAGCCTTGTTTATATTTTTAACAAATCAGAAATTGTATACTTGTTATTTTTGTCCTTGTGATATAGAAAATGGTATTGAATATCAATATTTTTCAAGAATGTCGTACCAAATTCCAGTATTATGACAACATTAATATGTGCATACCTGTGTATCTTTTTACAATTGTAGTTAAATGTATGTAAATGGCCATTTTTGCAATATTTCAAAATATATGTTGCACATATGACATGTTATATATGTGAAACCCAAATATAAGATTGTATGTCAAAAAAGCAATTTACATCTATTTCCATGTATCAGATATCTGTTCGGGAATGTCAGCATAAGCATATCACTAGTGCAAATAATCAAATGAAGTATTGTTGACGGTCTAATCTGACAGCAGAAAGATGTAAAGCGTGAAGAAAAGGATAAAAGTACATAAATCGAAAATTCAGATGTTAATGGACTGAACAATTTGGTTTTATTTTGCATAAGCATCACAATGCAAAGCTAATGTGCCTTATAAACACTCAGACTGTGGTGGTCTGTAATTCTGATAACATGAAACGCTATTTCACAATATATGATGTATGCTAACACAAAATGTATATGTTATAGCGCAGGGGTTTCCAAACTTTTCAGCCTGCGACCCCCAAAATGACAATGCCAGTGACTTGCGACCCCCAATATCCTGGTTATGAACACAGAAACCTTGCATGCAATGTCACACACACAAACACACACCAATACACCCAGGGATATTCTTTGTTTAATGTCAGTGCGGTAAATGGATTAGAAACTTTAACCTGGTGTTATAAAATCAATCTGCTGCATCTGACGCTATTGCTGTGTCTTTAATGTAATGTAATTACCACTGGGGGCGCAATCCAATAGAGCTAGTAACTATAAGCTACTATAGTAATTATAAACGACTATATTTTTTCTCTTCTGTAGGTTATGGATAAAATATGGTCATTCCTATATGATTTAATAATAATACATAGATTTTTTTAAATCACCAGGCGACCCCCCCCCCTTCATTGTCCCGCGACCCCTCGAGGGGTCCCAACCCCCACTTTGAGAACCCCTGTTATAGCAACATTACTTTGTCAGGGGTGTCAAACTCAATTCCTGGAGGGCCGTAGTCCTGCACAGTTTAGTTCCCTCCCTGCTCCAACACACCTATCTGTAGGTTTCAAACAAGACTCAATTAGTTTGATCAGGTGTGTTTAATTAGGGTTGGAACTAAACTGTGCAGAGCTGCGGCCCTTTTGGAACCGAGTTTGACACCTGTGCTTTATGTAAATACAGTTGTTTTTCTTTCCTCTCATAAATCACTACAACTATGTGCATTTTGACCAAAAGACCTCTAGCTATATTTATACTGTATAGTAAAGGTATACACAAAGTAACAGCAGGCTCGCTTTATTCAATACCTGCGTCCCAAATCGCATACATGCGCTCTTTTCTATGCCATTTTGTAGTATAAATAGTGTAAGTAGTGCGTTCGCACTGAAAACTCTAAAAATAATAAGTGAACTTTAAATACCCGGATGATGCACTCATTTAACCAGTAAAATTAAGTGTGGAATGATGGACACTTCAACGACCTCAGCTTTGCTCACGTTGCGGAAGGGGCGTAGCATTCGGGTGCACATGTTAAATAACTTTATTCATTTTAGATGTTGAAGCAAAATTCTCTTACGAGATTGATTCATAGCGCCTCCCGATCGTGAATGCGGTTATACTCAGGGCAGGTATTATTTGATAAGTTATTTCACTAATTTGGCAACCGTCAAACGTCATCAGGGAAACGGTTTGAATTTCCGCTTGGTACAAAAACAATAGTGCTCCATTTGGGACTACACTTGTCATAAGCTGCGTCCCAAATCGCATACTTATCCACCCAAAGACTAAGAAAGAGATCCTGTATTTCATGGGTTTGAGCTTCAGGAAAGTCACGGGATGGAAAACCGCTACATGACGCTCCATACAGATGCAGCTTTGAAACGGAGAACGACCGACCAGTAGCACAGTTCCAGGGAAGTACATACCAAATAGGCAATAGGTACAGTTAAATAAAATAGTACTGTATGATAAACACATAGGTGATGCAGAAGAAGACTGCAGAAAAAGCTGCATTGAAGAAGATTTCATTGGACTGTCCTTGAATCATCTCCTTCATGCTCAATCAAACCACGTAAACGTAAAACCAAGAAACATGTTGATGCTGAGAGCAACGGCGATAAAATATAAAATAAGTGGGTACATTGCTGCACGAGCTGGAGTTCACAGAGAGAACTGATGGTAAGCACATTGAAGAATTTGTTAGATCCTAAGTCACCATTTTTCAGATCTTCAGGTATTAGGATGTTTGGAAAAGGTAATTTAATTTGTATTAAGTTCTTGACAATCCCCAAGTCATCCAAAGCAATATTAGCAGATGCAAGCTTCACTTCAGCCGCTTCAGGTTTCAGATCTAGATTTATGGCTTATCGGAGAGTAATACTCCATGAGCAGTTTTGCATTGATGCAGTATTCAAATAGTGTATTTCTAACATGAGATATGTACATCTGGCATGTAAATCACACTGGCTGTCTATTCCAACCACACTTCTGTTTGTGAGGTTAAATTGTTCTCTGTGTTCACAGTAGAAATGATTAATTCACTGTTCAGTCATGATAGTGTAGACGTGTAGAAGTTGAAATGAAAGTGGCATTTGAGACTGACTCTGCTTTGTTTTGGTGCTGAATATGAGAATGTACCAGCACTAAAACTTCATGCAATTATTTAGTTTAATAAAAAACCTGTTTATTTCTCTAGCCCTTTTACAGTATAGATTGTGTCAAAGCAGCTTAACATAGAAGTTCTAGTAAAGTGAAACCGTGTCAGGCCAGTTTTCAGAGTTGAAGTTCAGTTTAGTGTGGTTTAATTTTCACTGCTGAAAGTCTAAACACTGAAGAGCAAATCCATCGATGCGTAGCTCCACAAGTCCCAAACCAAGCAGCTATTGATGACAGTGTTGAGGAACAAACTTTACTAAATGACGAAAGTGAAGGAAAAAAAGCCTCAAAAGAAACCAGGCTCAGTTGAGTCGACCGTTTCTCCTCTGGCCAAATTTTTTGTGCAGAGCTGCAGCGAAGGCTGGTGAAGGCTGGACTTTTATCATGGAGTACTGCAGGTTTGAGTAAGTCAATGGCGGGTGTTCAAGCTGGCCCAGGATCAGTGCAGATACTCCTCTGTCACTGTGGTCTTTCAGGAATCAGTCTAGAGACTTTGTATCGTTGACAATATACCAATAAAAATTCTCCCCATAATGAGAATAGGTATTTTTTTGTCAATAATAATAAAACCTAAAATCTGTGCAGTGAATACAATTACTACAGTGAAAGAGCTTTGTGAAATATAAAATACTTTCACTCTAAATTTAAAATAACTTATTAAATCAGACATAGTTTCATATTACAGAATGTGGAAGAAATCATACCATTTTATCACATTACAGTCAATTAGCATTGGATCATAAATATACTTATATTCCTTTAGAAATGTTCAGGATGGCCTGAAAAACTTGAATAAAACACTACATTGCAACTATTGTTTATTTTCTTTGATGTTTGATCATTTTCCCCTTTATGTCTTATTTTATCCTCCGTTAAATGTATAATTGTGTGGGGTGTAGATGCCTGTAGGGTTAGTATAAATGAAACTGATATTACAATATTATATTATATTATGGTTGCTAAACATTTATTTATTTAAAAAAACAAAATTATTTTCTCTAAAGATACATGACGCGTGTGTCTGAAAGATTTGTAACAAATGTCTGAGCTTGACACTGATTCCTGAAAGACCCCAGTGAAAGACGAGTCTCCACATTGATCCAGTGGGCCAGCCTGAACACCTGCCAGTGACCTATTCACACCTGCAGCTTCTTTATGATGGACATCCAGCGTTCTCCCGCCTCCGGCGCCTAGACTGCAGCTCTGCAAAAGAAGTATGGCCAGAGGAGAAATGGTCATGCCCAACTGAGCCTGGTTTCTCAAGGTTTTTTCCTTCACTTTCGTCAATTGGTGAAGTTTGTTCCTCGCCACTGTTGCCACTGGCTTGCTTTGTTTGGGACTTGTGGAGACTTGTGGGACTTGCTCCACAGTGAACTGAACTAAACTAAACTTCATCTCTGAAAACTGAAGTACACTGTTTACATTTACTAGAACTTCTATGTGAAGCTGCTCTGACACAACATACATTGTAAAAATGCTGTAGAAATAAAGATGAATTGAGTTTTATCTTTTAGTGGATACATATGAATTATAGTCATTTATGTCATAATCACAATATATACCAATAAATTGATTTATAGTTTTAAGTCCATATCACCAATCCCTATATGCAATAAAACTTCACAGGCAAAAGTAAAAATAGCTCATTTATTCATAGATAACCAGATTCTCATAGGTCTCAATGTTGTGTAGTTTATCGCTGGCAAAATCGATGATTAATTTTCTTTGTCCCGGCAGCTTAGGTGCAAACTCCACTTTAGCAGTGGCAAATTCTTTAGGACCGATTGTTCCAACCCTGTAGGTGAAAAAAGGCAACAGTTAATGCCCTGCAACTTTAACAACTCTTTAATTGTTTATTTTGTATAAGAAAAAATAGATAGAAACTTCACCATCGTCTAAAATCACAGGAAAAAAAGTCAAATCCAAAATCAAAATCTTTCTATTCGGAACTCAAAATGTTTCTGTAAGATTTGTAACAAATGTTTGTAACTCTTTCGTTTTTAAGAGTTCACACTTAGATATTGCTTGATATTAATAGCAGGTTTGGCATGCTGTCTTGGGAGAGAACCCTGAGCTCAGAGATCGTTGAGCCCATAGCTCCCGCCTTGGATACGAGATCAGGTAGTTTTTGAGAGCTCCCCCTGGATAAGGAGGAAAAGGGGGAGATGGGGTTGATGGGGGGGGATTCTTAAAAAACGAAGATAACGGAGAAAGGAAAGACGGGCTATTTATTATGAGTTTGGAATAATCTGATTGGATTATAAATGATTATGGATGAGACCAGCTGTGATCAATCAGATCACCTTCTCCTTTCAAAATTAGTTTGTGAAATTTCACTTAACATAGAGTTAACATGAACAAGCCAAACTCAGTCTTCATGTAGTTTTAATGTTTATTTAGTTTAACTGTATTATAAACATCTGAAAAATGTCAAATGAACTGTAAATTTCACACATGAGGGACTTCTCTAACCAACCCTAGCAAAGGTGCCAACATTATTTTTGACATGAATGTTTTATTGCATGCACAGATTTTGCATTTTGCAGGTAAAGATGATTGTCTGAATGATGGATTCAGGGTTGAGGTCTACCACTATGGTTAAGTAGCACTATATATATATATCAGATCATGTACACTAATTGCAAGTTACTCATTCATAAATTGTTAAAAAAAAAACAATAATGTAACTCTTTAGATAACTGCTTTGTAAAAATGCCTATTTTATTATATGTATAAAATTAAATTGCAAACTACTATTTCTACAAAAAAAATCAGCTCGTAGGTTGAATTATTATTTTTTAGGGTTCCCACACTTTTTAAAAGTACTTTAATTTCAGACATGGATTCGAGGCCTGTAAAGTACTTAAAAACTTACATGGGTCCTTGAAAATGCTTGAATTAAATTTAAAATGAGTTAATTTACTAATCTTAAATATAAATCCTGTACAAGAACTATGACAAATAAAGCAAATAAAGAAACATTTCAGAAACCACATTTGAATATTACTAGTATTGAATTAAAAAAATTATTAAAGTTTTTTTTATTTTATTTTATTCATTTTAATTTCAAATGTCATTTCAAAACATCATTAATTGCACATTTTAATGTAAATATTAACTGGGTGTCCGCTGGGTCTTAAAGTCTTAATGTCCTAAATTTCAAAAACTATACTTTGTGCCTTAAAGTCTTACATTGACTGAAATATTGTGTTGTAGGTCTTAAATCACCTTAAACAGATCTTAATTTTGCTTTGTCCAGGTAAAGCTACTCAGTTGGACCAGCATCTATCCAATCACCATCAATACATCTCAATAAAACCTTATACTTTTTTTATATTTAGGTTTTTTTTATTGCCAATGGCTAAAATTAACAGCTGTTATACATTTTTACTGCAAATTTCCTGTTAATACTCCCTAATCAGAGATAGAAAACTAAAAATGATGACATGATTCCACATAATACAGGGTCATTAGAAAAAAAAAAGTTTAACCCTGTATAACTCAATTTTATTAATAATGGTCTTAAAAGGGTCTTCAAAAGTCTTAAATTTGACTTGATGAAACCTGCAGAAACCCTGATTGAGTGCAAGTAAAATTTAAAGTACAATAAGGATTTTCATGGTGCTAAACATGTCTGGGTGCTTGATTTAAAATTAAAGTCATTGAAAGTCCTTGAATCTGCTGTTCATAAAAAAATGAGAACCCTGTTTTTAGTATCTTGTCACACTGGTGTGTTGTTCATGCTTGTATGTTTTAATAATCATTCATTACCACTGAAGACGTGCTACATCAGTCTTGTGAACTGATCGTGTGATGAGTTGAAATGATACCAGGTATGTCCGGTGGCAGATATTGGGAATGTAGTTTCACACCCAGGATCCTTACTGATCAGATGACTTACTCATGAGTGATGGGTTTGCCATCAGTCAGGTTGGCTCCATGTATAGTGAACACACAGTTCTCCAGAGGCTCCGGCAGTGGATTCTGCAGCGCTAAATCTGCCACCAGATTCCGGCCCACTTTTGGCACACCCAGGATCTGTTGGAGACCAACACGCACTTCATTAGAGCTGTGAGTCCTGCATAGCTTCATTCAGATTATTAATATGCTGTTAGTTTGTTAACTCTCTTGAGCAATCAGCTGGCGCACTGACTAGTCAACAGTGAATTACAGTCAATAAAAAATTTGTTCATTTAAAAAATGTTAAGTTGTATGTTTTGTTTACTCCACAAGCAAAGCATTGAAGTAACTTAATGTAATTGACACATTTTCACAAACTTTAGTAATTTTTCAACTTAATTTAGGCAACCAAAGAGCAAATGTGTGGTTTTTATGAGGAAAAAAAAAACAATTGATGAATTTTTCTTAATACTATACATGTTTGTTATTTTGATTTTGTCAAGCCAGCATACTGAAATATAAAGTGTATAATTTAGTATGATAATCATAGGTTGAGATTTACATTGACAATTATTTCAGGGGCGTCCAGTACGATGGTCTTCTTTGCTCGGTAGAATTCCCGTGTCTCTGCATCGATGAGTAAACCCACCAGTTTGATCATCCTGTCCTGAGTTATGGCTTTACTGTATTCTGCATACTCTAACCGAAGAGTAACTTTGCCACCTGAAACACAAATACAATGACACAGTTAGCTTTTAGCGTCTTGCTGTGGCCATGATGAAAAAATGTATGCATTGTGATTCACTTTTAGCTAGTTTTTAACAGCAGATGGTGCTCTAGGATAGTTTTTAACAGCAGATGATGAACAAGGCTAGTTTTTAACAGCAGACATCGCTTTAGGTCAGGGATTACCAAACTTGTTTCTGGAGGTCTGGTGTCCTGCAGATTTTTTGCTCCAACCATAATAAAACAAACCTGAACAAGCTAATCAAGGACTTACTAGGTATACTTGAAACACCCAGGCAGGGTGGCCCATTAAAAAGCATTGGATGCAGCTCAGATTGCACTGCTCCAGGTCTGCAGCCAGACCCCTCTTCTAAACCCTGCAGGGCACCAGACCTCCAGGAACGAGATGGTGCTCTAAGCTAATGTTTAACAGCAGTCTGTGCTCTAGGCTGGTTTTTTTAGACTGTGTTCTAGGCTAGTTTTTAAAAGCAGATGACGGTCTAGGCTAGACAGTGTTCTAGGCTAGTTTTTAACATTGGATGGAGCTCTATGCTAGTAGTTAACAGCAGATGGTGCTTTAGGTTAGTTTGTAACTGCAGATGGTGCTTTAGGTTAGTTTGTAACTACAGATGGTGCTTTCGACAAATGTTTAACAGCAGATGGCACTCTAGTCTAGTTTTTAAAAGCAGATGACGGTCTAGGCTAGTTTTAAAACTGCAGACAGTGTTCTAGGCTAGTTTTTAACAGTGGATGGAGTTCTAGGCTAGTGTTTAACAGCAGATGGCACTCTAGGCTAGTGTTTAACAGCAGATGGCACTCTAGGCTAGTGTTTAACAGCAGATGGCACTCTAGGCTAGTGTTTAACAGCAGATGGTGCTCTAGGCTAGTGTTTAACAGCAGATGGCGCTCTAGGCTAGTGTTTAACAACAGATGGCGCTCTAGGCTAGTGTTTAACAGCAGATGGTGCTCTAAGCAGCCGATGGCACTCTAGCCTAGTTTTTAAAAGCAGATGACGGTCAAGGCTAGACAGTGTTCTAGGCTAGTTTTTATCATTGGATGGAGCTCTATGCTAGTATTTAACAGCAGATGGCGCTCTAGGTTAGTTTGTAACTGCAGATGGTGCTTTAGGTTAGTTTGTAACTGCAGATGGTGCTTTCGACAAATGTTTAACAGCAGATGGCACTCTAGTCTAGTTTTTAAAAGCAGATGACGGTCTAGGCTAGTTTTGAAACTGCAGACAGTGTTCTAGGCTAGTTTTTAACAGTGGATGGAGTTCTAGGCTAGTGTTTAACAGCAGATGGCACTCTAGGCTAGTGTTTAACAGCAGATGGGACTCTAGGCTAGTGTTTAACAACAGATGGCACTTTAGGCTAGTGTTTAACAGCAGATGGCGCTCTAGGCTAGTGTTTAACAGCAGATGGTGCTCTAGGCAGCCGATGGCACTCTAGCCTAGTTTTTAAAAGCAGATGACGGTCTAGGCTAGACAGTGTTCTAGGCTAGTTTTTAACAGCGGATAGAGCTCTATGCTAGTATGTAACAGCAGATGGCGCTCTAGGCTAGTGTTTAACAGCAGATGGCGCTCTAGGCTAGTGTTTAACAGCAGATGGCACTCTAGGCTAGTGTTGAACAGCAGATGGAGCTCTATGCTAGTATTTAACTGCAGATGGCACTCTAGGCTAGTGTTTAACAGCAGATGGCGCTCTAGGCTAGTGTTTAACAGCAGATGGCACTCTAGGCTAGTGTTGAACAGCAGATGGAGCTCTATGCTAGTATTTAACTGCAGATGGCACTCTAGGCTAGTGTTTAACAGTAGATAGTGCTCTAGGCAAATCTTTAATGGCACATAGTGCACTAGGCTAGTTTTTAACTGACTTCGCTCTAGGCTAGTTTTTAACAGCAGATGGCACTCTAGGCTAGTCTTTAACAGCTCTGTTGTTGAAACTACTAGTTAAACATGTCTTACCTTCAGAAGAAGCTAAGCTAATCTCCGTAAACTCTCCCAGTCCGCAGGTCTCTCCAAGTGTGCCATTGTAGGACACTGCTTGTGCGTAAAACATCACCCGGCAGGACTTTGTGGTCATCGTGTTGTTTTTGATCTCAGCGTAGACGTCAAAGTCAGAGCCGATCTGCATATCTGGGGTCACTCTGATCTTGATGTGTAAACCAGGTTCCTCTCCTGCTTGTGCCAGTTTGTTGTGATGATTTGCTTTCTCAAAAACTTTTCTCTCTTCCTCAGAACCTGAATAGATTACAGTGTTTATTATGACAGAGCCGTATGTTTATTTGTGGTGGGTTCACAACAAATATAAAGGACTGCATCACTAGCTCTCGTTTACTCATGGGATGTTTTACGCCTCACCCAAATTTTCTGCATAGTTAATTTTTTTTACTTTAGCAATTTATGACAAATGTGTCATGTATTGTTCACGAATCGAAATTCCCAGAGAAAATGCGCCTGTATTAGGGCATTGGCAATCTAGATACTGTATCTAGATACTGAAATGAACAATTGGTGAAAACTCATTATTTTTTTTTTTACAGACTAGATAAGAGTCTGTTAGGCTTTCTGCCCTTGCTTATACTATACTTACTTGTATATTAGACCAAGATTTTTTTTTAAATAGTTGATTATTTTACTTGACAATATTCTGATTTACCACTTGGATTTAATTCTATTCAATTTTGGTTCACTAAGATTTGATTCCACTTCATTTACTTGTATTTTAGTTAAAGTGTCAGTCTTTGCATCGAAAATACATTCTCTGCTGTCGTAAGGTTTTGTATTTTCACATTTTAAAAATGCACTCACCCAGTTCAAGCGCACAAGTTAAGAAATAAGTGGCCACTAAGGCTGCACGATATAAAAAAAAAGAACATCTAACATTGCAATATTTTTTTTATTCTGCAATATATTTCGAAATGAATACAATTTCACTAGATGACTTGAATAAATATTTAGAAAGAATTGATAATGTTTGATTGGGATGATTCTTTATAGGAGTGCATTAAATATAATAAAAGACATGCAAGCAGAGATAAATTCAAAATAAGAAAAATATACAAATTAAATAAACAGCTTCTTATTGTTTTCCAACAAGTCTTAACTGTATTCAGGTATACAGTTATTCAATGATCAAATGTAAAATAATACTGCATAGACTTCATTTAATAAACAATTTAATTAAATGAATCATTATTGATTTGTCAGAGTTACAAATGGTACAATTACTTATGCCTGAATGCTTTTAAAATCCTTATTCAGTCACATACCTCATAAACACATGCAAATGAGAAATTATTATAATACAAATTAAACATTGCGATGTTACTTGCAAATGACCACATTGCGATTTGATTTTGATGCTGAAACGATATATTGTGCAGTCCTAGTGGCCACATTAATGATGTGGTGTGGCCTATAATAATCAAAGGTAATTAGTTTAAGATTTCATAAGTGTCAGTTTTCACTATAATAGATGGACCAGTTACAGTTCTCAACAATACCCTAAAATAGAGGTGTTAAATCCTATTCCTGGAGATCTATCTTCTGCAGAGTTCAGCTGCAACTTTGATCACCCGGGTCTTTAATTACTAAGTCCCCCTTCAGATCCTGCTTAGTTGGTTTAGTTGCATTTGATGAAGGTTTGATTTTCAGGAACAGGGTTGAGCACCCCTTGTCTAGAATTAAAGACATCTGCTTATGCACCCATCAAAGATATTGTACTGATTGGTTTGTTCCCACATGAACTACAAGTCTATGCCTTCCAGCACTTAGAGTAAAAAAAAGTTTGGCTCCTGACAATACACTGGGGACTTATGAAGTGAAATGTATTCATTAATTTATCTTTTATCCATTGCTTTTGACAAAATCCAACTGTTTTGCTTCATAAGACCTCAATATAACAACATATACCACATCTACTGCTCAATGATGCAGTGTTAAATTATGGAGCCCTTTTTGGGGTATTGAGCTTGCATCCATCTGCTCATCATCCTGAATCCCGAAGCATGATTGATTACAGTTACCCAGAATGCCTTCTTACCCTCTGGATACTTGTAGTTGTGAGTAATGTCCTCTCTCTCATCTCGACCCACTGCTTTGGTGCTGATGGATTTCCCAATCTCCGTCGTGGATCCGCCCATCTTGAACACTCGTCCGTCTCTCAGTTTGATGTACTCCACCACGTCAGCGTTCACCTCCGCATACACGAACGGGACGTCGAATTTGAAGGTGAGCTCGCCCTCTTTAATAGCTCTCACAGAGGCTGGTCCACAACAGAATACGCCTGACAGGAGGAAAACAAATGGCAGGTGTTTATATTGCAATTATCAGGGGGGCATCGAAAATGTAGTATGTGTGCCAAAACCCAAAATTAATTTAAAAAATCTACATACAAAAAAATGCTTTGAAGTAATTATTTATTATTTTATTAAAAGATAGTAAGTAATTTTTAAGACTTTTAAATTTAATCCCATGCCCTCAATTATACTAATTTTAAAAATCACAAGCCAATAAAATAATCCCATTTAATATCTTATTGACCGTGAATCAAGGAGTGTCAGCATTGCCATGACCGCACTGTAAAGCTATTGCAAGCAGCAGGAACAAGTGTACTACATAGAAATTAAATTTCTTGCCGGCTCATTATTAAGTGGACTTTGCTTTTTAGATGATCATGTGCATTTTATAGATAGACAAGTATACGTGTAGATGAGCATAATTTATGCAAAGCAGAATATTGAGATATTTTGAACTTTGAATGTATCAGCTTGCAAGTTAAAATTGCGCTCTGCTGGTGTTCGCCATTGAAATGAATGGGTTTCATAGCACAGCGCTTTCCACATACCATTGGAAAGTTGCTTTTAATATCAGATGGAGGGGGATTAAAACCAGCACACTGAACACTGCAATGTGGCACAACAGTCATTTTTCAGTTTATATTTTTGCCTGTTTTTCTCTTTTGTAAAAACAAGAATTTGATTTATTTATTTATTTTTTTTTGTCAGATAATATTTGGTGCATCCCTTCCGATTATCCACTTCTTTCAGACATTGATTATTAATTTACCATCACTTCTGTGCTGTGGTGTTGGGTCGCTCGCTTGCCAACCCTCATACCCCAGTGCCAGATCTGGTCGGGTCATCCAGTTCTCCACCCATACATGGTAGTTCCTGAGGATGGACAAGGTACAGTACATTCTCATATTTGCATCAGACTCTGAATTATTACTCTTAAAAAATAATTCCAAACTGAGGTTTTGATTTAAAGGTTGAATTTTTTTGGATTGAAGAAGTTCTTTCTTCTAAAAATTTTTTTTCCACAAAAACAGCTAAAGTACACAAATCTAAAGGACACAAATGTGAAATCAACATACAATTTACAATATTTTAATAATTTTTACACTTTCACTGACAGATTTCTTAACCAATATCTATCAAAATTTATTCATGTTCAGGTTTTAACCCTATTAATTGAAATAAATATTTATTAAAAGGGCTAAATTTAACTACATTAAAATTTACACTATGCTACTGCTGCCCATAACATATGCCGTCTGCATGAACACAGCCATAATTATCACAAAAGTAATGTTAATGTGATGTAGATACGGATGCTGCACAAGGGTTAATTTTGGCATCAGTATATTTACCAAATGGAGTCGTCAGCAATGTTCTGATCAAATTCATTGTAGAAGCGCTCCATTATTAGGTCGCCATTACTGTCACGCGCTGATCCAAAGTTGGTGATGACTCTGCAGGGTATTCCTAGAGCTCTGGACACTGAGATTTAAACACAAAACTGAGGTCTGGATCTGTCCTACCTAAGATGAGGAAACTGTTGGGCTTGAATAATTAGGATATTTATAAGGAACATGCATTTCAAAATAGATTTCCAAAATAAAAAAGGAGGTTATAAACCAAGAATTATTATTATTAAACCACTGAAATCTCAAATTTGCATTGATTGATCTAAAATAAAAAATAAAAAACTGTAAATTGAATTAAAAGTAAACCAAAAATTAAAGGATTTTGAAGTACTAAAATCTAAATGAAGATGGATAATCTAAGAGTAAAATAAAAAAAAACTATTATATTGCATAATTAATTTGCAGTCGTTTTAAAAATGCAATATATATATATATATATATATATATATATATATATATACATATATATTTTTTTTTAAATTCTTTTATTTATTTTCTTTTCTATAAAAACTTGTATCATTTTAAAGCCACAAATCAGCAAGCTTTAATTTTAGTGCATTGCTGGACAATTAAGCATTTGTGTAAATAAAGTCATACTTTCAGTTCTGAATGAAATATGTAATTTTTTTTCTGAAAGCAGACTGTAAACACATCCATCTCTGAACCACAAACTTCATAAACCTCAAAGATTTTCTTACTGCTCAAAAACACAATATAATGATACATTGTAGTTGTCTGAATGCTAATTAATTGACATGTACTAATTATTGCAGCGATGGATGAATGACCTGTGCAGGCGACAGCAGCAAACACCCAGCACTGTCCGTAACGCACCGCCCTGCAGCCCTCATTACTCCACTGACGGAGGATCGAGCAGCTGTCCTTCCACACGGTGGGCTTTACTCCGTCTTCATAATCATCTGACCAGTTGCCCACCACGACTCCTTTATCACCCAGACTGTTGATCTGGACCGTGTGGGAAAACAGACATTAAAGGACACCTATTATGCAAAAATCATATTTAAGCACAGTTGTGTGGCTGCAGTGTGCGAATATAACCCACCTCTAATGGTGAAAATGAATTAATTCAATTTTTTTAATCTCATGTGATAAAAACAGTCAAAAGCGCTTTGATTAACAGTCTCCCTTTTGTATTTGACATCTGAGGGGAAAGCCCCGCCTATTAGTGACCATCTCTCCCTCATTAACATAAACAGCCCTGAGTAAGAAGCAGCCGTCCGCCATAGTCAGAGTTCTGACCTACTGAAGAGAATGTCAGCGACTAAGAAGATTATAAATGTGGAGTTTTAGATGCATCAGAGATATACATTTTGTAAAAAGGAGCAAAATAGGTCGCATTTAGACATCTTTCACACTTTCTTTAGTGCATGTACAAATTTTGCTATTTATTTATAGAAATTCATGGAAATTTTTTTTTTTATTTATATATATATATATATATATATATATATATATATATATATATATATAATTTATTTATTTATTTATTTATTTATTTTTATTTATTTAATTTAATTGTATTTTTCCATGAATTTCCAAGAAGAAATTGCAATGTGTATATATATATATATATATATATACACACACACATACACGCACATACACATATAAAATATTTCATTAGTTTTGCTTGTAGATTGAATTAAATAAATTTTAAAGAAACACTTTTTTTTTTTTTTTACATAAGTGAATGGTATATTGGCTGGTGATGCAGTTAAACCCTATTGTAGTTAATATAGTGACTTCAGTAATATTTTAGGGACTGATTTGACTGACCATTGCACTAAGGACTCGAGTCACATACACAGCATTCTTCCTCTCGGAACAATCCAGAGCTGCATCACTGATGTAATTCGGGCTTTCATCCAAAATCTGAAGGCAGATGTCCAGTATTCCCTGCTCAAACTGCAGAACAGAAAACATCGAAGCCTACTGTAAATTCTTTTAGGACAGTTGAATCAGGGTTATTATTGTTAAATTTAAAACTAAAAGAAAATTAAATGGAAATTACCAAGTTTTAATTAAAATTAATGTCAGCTGAAAAGAAAATATTCTATTATATGTTATTAAATGTTCTATAGATATTATATGTTATTTTAGTTAATTGCTGATGGAATCATTTATATATTTAGTTTGATGAACTTAAAGTGAATAAAAATGAATTAAACTTTAAGAAACACTAAAGCCATTTAAAATAGCTAAAACGGAAATAAAAAAACTGTAGCAATTAAAGAAACGGTATTTAAAAACGATAGAAATAATAGAATATAGAAAATGTATTTCAAAATTTAAATATATTTTAAAGCAAACTAAATTTTAAATAAAATTTAAAAATAATAACAATAAAAAAAAAAAAAAAATATATATATATATATATATATATATATATATATATATATATATATATATATATATATCATTAGTACCGACTAATACTAGTTTGAATGTTTCTTATAGGTAATTTCAAAATACTTTAAAGTCTGTAAAGTCCTTGAAGTTTTAAAGTAAAGCATGCATCTGTGATTGAGTTCTAAAGATGTTTTGAGATGCAGCACCTGTCCAAATGTCCATGGTAGAACTGTGATTCTTTTGGGTGTACCGCGGTAAATCAGGCCGTCCTGAGAGAGAACGTATTCCTCTCTCTCAGCTTCATTCGCCAGATACACAGAGTCCACTGAAACATGCAACACACAACAGGATTCTTGAGATAAATACTTTACTAGAGGATCTGTACTTGTACATAAAGGCTGAGTTCATCTACAGATGGAAATTCTGTCATTGTTCACCCTCATATTGTTCAACTTTATAAACACAAGTTACAAATAATAATCATCAACAGTTGAAGACAAAATTATTAGCCTTCTTGTGACTATATTTTAAATATTTCTTTTAATGGAGATTTTTCAACATATTTCTAATTGTAATAGTTTCTAATGACAATTTTCGTTGTCTTTGCCGTGATGACAGTATAATAATATTTTACTAGTAAATTTTCAAGATACTAGTTTTCAGCTTAAAGTGCAGTTTAAAGACTTAACTAGGTCAATTAGTTGTACTAAGTTAGGTTAAGTAGGCAAGTCATTGGACAACAGTGTTTTGTTTTGTAGCCAATCAAAAAAGTAGTAATTCAAAGGACTAATAATATTGACTATAGCAGTCCTTCTTTCTTTTCTTCCTTCCAACCCTTCTTCCTACTTTTCATTCATTCATTCATATTTTCATTGCTTCCTTTCTTCATTTTTTCCATCATTTATTTTATCATTTATTTTCCTTCTTTTCTTTCTTTATTTTCCTTTGCCTTTTATATTTTCCTTCCTTTGTTCCTTCCTTGTTTCTTCCTTTCTATCTTTCCTTCCTTCCTTCCTTCCTTCCTTCCTTCCTTCCTTCATATTTTCCTTTGCTTTACTTCCTTCACATTTTCCTTTGCTTTACTTCCTTCCTTGCTTTGTTTAGATTCATTCATTCATTCATTCATATTTTTATTGCTTCCTTTCTATTGCTTTTTCCCTTCTTTGTTTATTTTTCTTCTTTCTATATTTTCTTTTGCTTTCCCTCATATCTTCCTTCCTTTGTTCCTTTCTTTGTTTCCATCCATCCATCCATCCATCCATCCATCCATCCATCCATCCATCCATCCATCCATCCATCCATCCATCCATCCATCCATCCATCCATCCATCCATCCCTAACTTCCTTCATTCATTTTCTTTCTTTCTTTCTTTCTTTCTTTCTTTCTTTCTTTCTTTCTTTCTGTCTTTCTGTCTTTCTTTCTTTTTCTTTCTTTCTTTCTTTCTTTCTTTCTTTCTTTCTTTCTTTCTTTCTTTCTTTCTTTCTTTCTTTCTTTCTTTCTTTCTTTTTCTTTCTTTCTTTCTTTCTTTCTTTCTTTCTTTCTGTCTTTCTTTCTTTTTCTTTCTTTCTTTCTTTCTTTCTTTCTTTCTTTCTTTCTTTCTTTCTTTCTTTCTTTCTTTCTTTCTTTCTTTTTTCTTTTCTTTCTTTCTTTCTTTCTTTCTTTCTTTCTTTCTTTCTTTTTCTTTCTTTCTTTCTTTCTTTCATTTATATTTTTCTTTGATTTTTCCTTCTTTTGTTTCTGCCTTTCATTTATTCATATTTTCTTTTGCCTTAATTTTTTCCCTTTGTTTTCATTCATTCATTTCTATTTTCTTTTGCCCTCCTTCATATTTTTCTACTTTCTTCTTTCCACCCAAACTAAAAGAAATAAGACTTTCTTTAGTAAAAGCACAATCAGAAATGCTTTGATAAATATCTAGCTTTTTTCAAACATCACATGGGAAATGTTTAAAGAATTCCCCATTCACAGGAGGGTTAATAATTCTGCCTACAACTGCAAACTTAGTCACAATTTGTAATTTGTTTGGACGTGTTAAAACATCACGCAGATGCTCATTTGGCTCATGTTTGCATTTTCTTCACAAGATATAGGATTAGTCATAAATGCAAACATCCTGTTCTAACCTTTCAGATGCAGATATTTCCTGTGGAGACTGCAAAGAACTGAGCCAAAGTTTAATGCAGCACTAATTATAGAAACCACTTACATTTGCACCAGGGGTTAAAGAGCAGCACAAACTCCCCCAGAATGACTCCATCTCCCTGGTCCAGGATCAGTGTGTAGCGGCCGACAGGAGCATTTGTGTGCGCGCAGATACTCAGAGAAACTGTGCTGTTGTGGGTTTCTGCTGTGGCGCTCCAGCTCAAGCGAGAGATCACTTTACTCAGGCTGAATCTGGCTTTGGTTTGAGCCTCCACAGATGGGATCGGACCTTAAACCCAGCAGAAAGACATGAATGAATGAGCTCAAACACTATTAATAGGGTCATGCACTCTTTGAAGCCTTTGCATCATGTTTCTAATAATACTCCTAACCTGTGAATGATATGAAGATGGTTTACAGCTTTACTGTCATGCCGTTAAACCTCACTCTGTCTCTTAAAGGGATAGTTCACCCAAA